CAAATTCGTTTTAATCATTTCGATGACCAGACTAACCTATGCTTCAAGGACAACTGTATTACATAGAGGGTGCTTAATATAGGAGGCGCTATAGTGTACAGAACAGTTTTCTCTGATATATAGAACACGTATTAGTACGTTTACTCGTGCCTATTTACTTTCTCCCAAACTTTATCGCTTGTCGTGTTTTTTTTCCCATTTCCCCTTATACTTATCCCTATTTTAAAAAAATTTTTTTTCGTTTTTTTTCCATTTTTCTTTTTTGAGAAAATCGATGTTAATCGTGCAGAGACAACGTCTCGGTCCCGCCATATTTTATTTTACGATTCATTTTGAAACCGGGACGATCTTAGAAGCAAAGAGGGATTTAATTTCTCAAAATCATCTTATTTTTAGCAGAGAAATTGTAACTGCGCTCTTGTACTATCATTTATGTGACACCCTGTACATGTTGAATCGTTTTTTTAACAAGCATATTTAAATACGTACACACGACACGTGCGTGTATCTTCCACAAGAAAAATTATCGTCGTTCATCACAATCGACACACATACAGAGACGCAGGTAGAAAATGGGATAGGTTCGTTCAGCGTGCATGCGCGTACGCGCGAACCTTTTCTCGAGTAGAAAAAGTCGAGGCTTTTGAAAATTTACTTTTCCACACTAACCCGGCGCATTATTTAAATTCTAATCTTTTATAGTAATGATTCATACCCTAAAACAGCTATATATTCAGTATTTATTATCACAACAAATATCTTTCCGCTAGTTTGAGAAAGCTTCTTGCCCTTTGATTCGATTTGTGTGTGTGTGTGTGTGTGTGTGTGTGTGTGTGTGCGCGCGCGTGTGCGCGTGTGCGTGAGTGAGTGAGTGTGAGTGTGAGAGCTATATGGATGTAATGTGTATACTTAGTACACGCGACATTCAATTACCCTACATTTTCCACTTTGAATTCTTTCTGGCCTTTTTTCTCTCTGGCAAGAAACAAAAAGACACGCCATATTTCTTTTTTGGAATTGATAAGTCGTATTTTGAAATTCTACTTTGTCATTAATCTGCACCAAAGCACTTTTGTGACATTGTTCGACTAAAATCGTACAAAGAACCAATTTTCGATGTTCACCAGACTCTGATATGTATAACACGGCGCTTTTTTTAAAAAGAAAAATGATGCCCAAAAGATAATTACAATATATCAAATGTCGATCTTTAACGCTTAACGATCGATTATCAAGAAAAGTTGCGTATAAAAAGAATAAGAATCGAATATAACACGTGGCATACTCTCGACCGTGTAATCGATCGAAAAAGATTCTTAACTTACGCCCCGATTAAAGCGGACGGATAAAAATAAAGCAAGCGGACAAACAAGCAAACGATTCAAGGAACATCAACCGATCTTCGAAGCGCTGGTCACGAACTTCGACACGTTAATATTTAAATGCGCATGTATTTTAAACGAAAGATGAGAAAACGGAAAAGAAATGTATTTAAAAAGAGAAAAATTTGTATCCGCGGTAATACAGTTCGCAACGTTATCGACGCCGATAATCTCGCGGTAAAATATTGTTACTAGACAAAGAAAAAAGTACCAGAGAGAATTCGTGGGTGAAAAATTCTTGAACAACATTTAAGTAGAAGGTAAACACAAAATTCCTCAGAACCATCTTCAACGTCATTGTCATCGTAATCGTCATCGTAATCGTCATTGTATTCATTATTATTACTACTTTTACTCCAATCTCCTACTCCCTCCCACGCATACAATTTCTCCCAATCATTTGAAATCTTACGCTAAGCTTCACCATCAGAGTCGTTAGAATACTACGCTACTTGTGAATATATCTCTCAATACCGTTAGACAATGAAAATCGCAAAATTGTATTAACTACCATTTTATATCTATTATTTCGTACCGTTTCTCTATTTAACTGTTATTAGCATTATATCGCATCTTAATGAACATTACGATCATTATTACTGTTAATACCTAATATTTATTTATTATTATTCATTATTGTTAGTTATTATTAATCTGTCTAAAATTAATTAATTTTTTCATTCTTGTTAGGAATAGAGGTTACTCGCGAATTAGTCCACTTTGTTGCATTAATCAGTAGTCATTTTTTACAATAATTAATCACCTTATTAATTAGTACTCTCTTCAAAGTGCTTCCTTATAATTATTATAATAATGTATAATTTTGTGTGTATGTGTGTTTGTGTAGGCGCGTGCGGTATGTGTCCACGAGCATGCGCACCCAAATGTGTGCACGCACATGTACTTTATACGTACGTGTGTGTAAACATATATTTATATATACACATATATATACATACATATATACACACACACGCACATATATATATATACATGCATATACATATATAGATATAGATAGATAAACAATGTATACATAAATGTCTGCTCGTTTTTTACCATCATTCATTAATCATAGTGTGTGTATGTGTGTGTATAATGTGCGCGGGTGGGTGTGTACATATGTGTATGCGCGCGCGCTCGTACGTGCGTGCCTGCGTGTATCCCAGTATTTACTATTACTATCCTCTTCCCTAAGAACATGTTTACGTGTTAATAGTTAAAAATGACGAGTCAAACTTTCTTTCCTCGATCCTCGATTTACTTTGTTTCATAACCTTTCGGGATGCTGTTCTCTTTCAAAGCGTGTGCACAAGGGGTACTCCCTAAATCTAACAAATAACATGACACTAACTTCCCGTAATATCCCTAGAACCTTCCTCGATCGCTAATTACGAAACCAGTGCATGGCACTCCATTTTGTGACTGGTCCAAGCTTGCAAACGCGCTTTTGCAGCCATTCTTTTTTTTTTCCCTTTTCTATTTTTTTTTTCCTTTTTTCTTCCTTTTTACAACAGAGAAGTTACTTTGCCTTCGACCTTCTAATATCTTATGAAATCAGCATCTTCGTATATTTTCAATGTATATCTATATATTTATAATTATTTTAAAAAAACCGCGTCTTACAAACACGTATTAAATTAACTTCATAACTAGATTAGATAATAAATGTGCGTAAAAGCTTCATTAAAATTTGACATGCTTACTCCATAATAAGTGAAAATATCATCTATAGATTGTACATTAATCTGAATTATTTGGCCCTGATCACTTCGTATATACAAACATTTCAATTTCCGTATGTTCAAAATTTAATTGGTCACAATGAACTAATAAATAATATTTACGGAAAAAGATTGGAAATCATCTTATTTATAATTTTTGGATATGTCAATCGCCGAATAACGACCAGAGGCATCAACTTAGTTCTATTTTTAAGTTTACATATACTTTGCCACGTGTTCCGATTTCGATTATGTTTTTCCAAGTTTTCACAAAATCTTTGGGTACTTCAAGAACTTTATGAATCCGATGTTTCGCGTGCTTCGATTTGGAAACGTTCCAAAAATATTTTCATTCTCAACAACCATCTTGAATCGATCTTTAAAAAACAACAATGGCGTCCCGCATGAATTTCGAAAATTCGAAAAATGCGCGAAACTATTTTTCTCTTTATTTTTTTATTTTTTTCTTCGTCTATCATTAACACGTTCTCAAAATTCTCGAGAAATCGTTAAACTTTTGTTAGCTTTTTCGAGATTTATTTACAACCGCGATAAACCGTATTCGTCTAATTTCGTATTTAAGGCGGGAAAACATCGAATATATTAAACATTTGAAATCGCAAAGCTTATACTTACGTTCTATCTCCGAACGAATTTGGAATTTTTTCTCATCTAAATTTCCGACACGAATTTGCCGAGGTATTTTCTCTTAAAGCAACATTCGACTCATCGAAGCATCTATCGCAACGGAATGCTATGAAATTTTATGACCCATATATCATTTCGATCTTTTCAACTTGCTTAGCACACTTTGAGACATGTCTCCCTGATTTTAGTGAAACTCTTTCATTTATTTATTTATTTATTCGTTTCTTTTTTTCTCTCTTTTCCTCTAGGAATCGTTCAAAAATCAAAATTCGTTCTTACGAACGTTTCGAATCACTATGTATTTACAGTTCTAAACAACAATCAAGACGACGAACAAAATCTTTGGGAAATTGTGTCTATGAAAAATTCCTTTAGTGTTCTCACGTTTTATTTTTTCATTTTTTTTTCTTTTTTTTTTCGTTTTCTTTTTTGATAATTCGAGAAAGTGTCGTTTGAATAATTTCCAGCAAGGTGCGTGAGGCGTAAATAAAACAAAAATGTTCGACGAAAAAAAAAAGTTATTAATATTCACGTTACAATCAACATTCGAGATAAAAGTAACAATCGATTTTAATTTCCGAACATAGAATCGGTTTTCTAAGCACATTTCGTTTATATTTCCTGCAGAAATACAAGGAACTGTAGGACTCTTGTGTGAAGGAGAAAAAGAAGTGTAATTAAAATTTGAACACACGCATTCGCGATCTTTAAATAATACTGTATCACAATTAAAACAAATCAGACTATAAGGATAATTATTACTAATATAATTGCAACGCAATGAGCATAGGTATGCGAAACTTTAATCATTTAAAAGATTAATTAAAGGAAAAGGTTTATAACGGTGTTTAATAATATCATTTAACTCTGTTAATATTGCATTACACCTAATATTCTTTATATATTATAACAAAATGTCAGACATAAAACTATTCATGTATGTATAACTGTTTATTTCAATTTCACCGGCATCGTCGGCTCTTTGCCATTAGCCACTGTATAACTATATAAAATATTTCTAAAACTTTGTATCATTAAATTTAGTGACTTGGAAAATCAAATTTACAATTATAAGAATAATATTCATAATAATACATTATTAAAACGTTATGCGTCAAAAATACAAAGAAACAGAAATCAACTGTTAAATGTATTCGATCATCTTTCCTAAAATAAACTAAAGTATTTATTACTTTTTCATCTGTAAAGACACATTCGTTACGTTTCAAGTTATCAAGAGCCTTGACTAAATTTATTCCGTTAGTATAGTTATTGTTAGAATTTCTTATTCCGTCACATTTTTCATTTTGTCTCTCGTCATTATCATCAAATTAACAATGGCACATGCCCCAAATGCACACGCATGTATATTTAAGAAAAAAGAGGGAAAACGATTCATCCCGAAAGAGAAGAGTATGAGCATATGTGTACGTTTTCCTACTGGCGCGTGTGTACGCATGCGCTCGAAATACGTAAACCGTAACCGAGACCTGAAATGAAACGCAAGCGCACCAATTAATTTAACACGTATATACACTTGCATACGGGCAATAAATACAGTGACACGTTACATACATATTATAGCACGCATACGTACCGGCACGTCGAGTGCGCAAAACAAGTGCGCCGATATAACGCGACATCACGCGCATGCGCGTAAGCGTATTGGAATCCGTATCATCGTTAACTACACCGGGGTGCGTATGCGTGCAAGTATGTATAACCTATTATTGGCTGTATTCCTTTAAAACTTTCTTTCGGTCTTTTTTGTTTTTTCTTTCCTTCTAACGTACGTTCAATTTCTTTCGGACTAAATATAAATGCCTAACTTTTTATATTTAGCATTCGATATACCGCATGCTTCGCTAGACACAGCCAAGAATTTGAATTGTTTACAAATACGTAAAAAGGTAATAACGTCATCGCTAATAACCCCCTAAAGAAAGTCGTAGTTTAGAAAGAATTATAATTGGCATTAATCGAATCAATTTGTAGACATCGTTTATACTAAGGATATACAAAATAGGTTTTATAATTTTATGAAATACACTTTAACCTCGAATAATTAATCTTATGCGAAAGTAAACGAACAAATTTTCACGAAAATTATGGTAAGTTTCTCTAAAATTTCAAATGCTTTTTCCTTTTAAATTTAATTTAAATTATTAATGTTAAATCGAATGCTACTTAATATCAATATCACATTACAGTTTGACAAGAGAAATAAATATTAACGAGATTACATTGTGATCTCGTGCGGTTTCAAAAGAACACAGGCAATAAGTGCAATAAAGTACATACGCGTTTGTGTAATGAACAAAAATTAAGCATGAAAGTAATAGGGGGTAATGGAAGAAATAAAGGAGAACAACAATTTAAAACAATTAAATGTACAGACGGAATATAGTAAAACGGAAAGGTAAGAAAAAGGAAACGTAGTTTTAGCGCATGCGCACAAGAGATTGTAGTGTATAGCTGATTGGTCTTAAATATAGCATGCTAATTCTAGTATCTCGAAGTATGCTTTTTATAAAATAATAATTAACGACACTGAGGTAAATGGCTATTACGTTATTAAGCTTATTTGTTATTTTCGTTCACCTGTTCGCTCATTTTTCGGTGATATGTATCGAAAATCAATCTCTTTTTTTTCTTTTTTAGATACAACAAAACTAATTTTCCACTAATTTTCCATTGTTTAAAACATTTACAAGTAAATCACAAGATTTTTAGTTTAACAGAACTCCGTACTTTCTGTTTTATCGAAACGTATTTTATTCATCAAAAGATTCTTTAAAAGACAAAGCACGTTGGAATATTTACATGCCTGTAATGAAATTATAACATCTGTTTTCATTTAATTCGATCTGTAAATTATCTTTAAAAATGGAATAATTAAAATTTTGTTCAAATAGCAAATGTCAGATATAACAATGTAGTCCCTTTTATAGATATAACAAAAACAAACGATGTAGAAGACGATAGAAAATCAACGTTTAATAAATAAAACACCGAAGAAGATAAATCGATGACTCTGAGCACGGAATATAATTTTTCCGGAGACACAAGGTTATAATGCTTTACTTATAAAATGTATTACGCTATAAAATAATCATTTCACGAGAGAAATTAGAAAAAATATATCAAGTTAAGCTATAATCGTCGAGTAAACTTATTCGAGGGAATTGCAATGAAAATAGATTGCTTAGGAAAGTGTCGAAGTGTTTATAGTATAAAACTATATAGATGTATGTATACGATTAACCCCCAGTGTCGTAAAAATTCCATACCTGTAGTGGTATATTTTGTTTAATTTAGCTTATCAAACGGTTTGCAAGCATATATCGATCATGCTTGAAGTGTGCTGCCACCTATCCTCAAGATAAAGGACAATGAATTTATGCTTTCTTATGCTTTATCCTCAAACGAGAAAAAAAACCATTATCGTTGGAAGTACCAGCGCTCGCATAAATTTAGTTTCCGTCTTGTAATCTAAATTTATGTTCCATTCGGAACGCAAAAAAGGTACACTCATTATGTTCAAACGCCCTCAGACCTCTATATTCGTACATTATCAATAACATTATCTATTCGTTACCATTAATATTATCACTAGCAATTCTTACGTGACTGCTGCTTCCCTAAAAACATTATATATACTACTGCTGCCGCCATGACAATTCTTGTAATTACAAGTATTATCACTACTGCTGTTAATGTCACTACAACTAATATAAATTGCAATTACTTTAATACTCTAATATTCATTACAATCGTCGTTATTATCGTCTTCTTGATCATCACTCTATTATTATTGTTTTTACGGATTATTGATTACTGAATATCATAATCAGCAACAATTATGTTCATTTATATTATATCATTTGCGTTATCATTAACTTCTTACTATTATCGTGGTTAAACCTATTCCATTCACAGTATCCTGACTACTGCGGCAGGCATTTTCTACTATTAATATCGTACCACCACCACTATTATGATTACTGTTACTGCTATCATTATCGGTGCAACGGTAGTATTAGTGTCACAATAATAAGTAATGATAATGTTAACAGCTGTAACAAAAATTGATGACAATGATGGCAATGTTGATAATAACAATAGCAGAAATTAACAGCACCAACAGTTATCCTATTATTTTTATTATTAATCATTAGTAATAGTAGTTGTAGCACTAACAATAGTTGCGATAATAATAGTAACAATAATAGTAGTTACCGTCGCAAATCATTTCCAAGGATACCGATAGAAGTAGAAACGAAGAATTACTGCTGCAGCAGATAGCAGTAGGAAGTAGTGGTAACAGTAGGAGCGGCAATAGCACACAGTAGTAGCAACATCGGAATCTAGCGTTAGTAGTAGCAAAAGTAGTAGCGATAATGATAGAGTAGGAATTACGTTAATAGCAACAGCAGTAGCGGCTGTAATTGGAATTAAATGAAACGGTAATGGCAGCAGTAGCAGCAACAATAATTGCAACAATATTGATAATGGACATAGCAATAATAACGATTATAAAGATGATGATTGTAGTAGTAGCAAAAGCAGTAATAATAATAGTGGTGACACTATCATTACTCTATTATCACATTACACAATATTGCCGCTATTGCTATCATTGTTAACGCCACTACTACTGTTGCAACTGCTATAACTACGATTATCGTTACCTTTTATTTGCAATCTCATTGGCATTACAGCTTCTTCTTTTAATACTGCTTTTATAACTATTGTTGCTGCTGGTACTATTACCACTTCCATTCCTACACGCATTACAATTGCTAGTGATTCTTTTACTTTTTACCATCATTAGTAATACGCAATTATCCATCAAATTATTATTCATCGTAACTATTGTTCTTGCTGTACCAAAGTTACAAATGTTATTTATCATTTAGTATCGGTATTACTGTTATTATTACTGTTACTACTATTGCGACTACTACTATTACCAATGCTGCTACTGCCGCTGCTACTTTTACTACTGCTTCTATCTGTACTTCTACTATTATTATCATATATACATTATTATCGTTACAATTCAGCGATTCCACCGTGGAACCTGAGATATCTGGATAGAAGCTTAGCATCAACTAGTTTCGATGGATTGTAGAGGCAGCTTTTTTTCAAGCATTAAGATATAAAATTGAAAAATTAGATTATCGAGTCACTCGAAATTAATACGAATTCGGTTAAGCACATATCTAAAAATGATTTACGAAGGAATTTCAGTTGCAAAGCCGTAATTGCAATTAGTCTCTCGAATTTAATGTTGTACACGTAAAAAGAATGAACTAAGAAAAAATGCACTTTCATTTTCTAGATGTTACAAGAGAGAAAAGAAAAGGACTTTAGATCCACTGTTAACTACTTTCGTTGGAACGATTCATGCAGCTGCGATGTAAAGCACTCACAATCTTTTTTCTTTCTTCCGTTTCTTAAGACAATTATACGATATAATAACGTATCGTTAAGCTGTAGATTTAAGCTGTAGAGTCTATTTGTCAACTTTTATAAGATTTCTCTAATAATCTATTCAATATGCAAACATTCTTATATTAACAGTTGGTGTTAATATAATAGAGAAATATCAGTAAGCGTATTCCGATATATTACAAAATGGACACGGTTAAGAAGATGTACATTCTTCGGTGAATTTCCATTCATTTTAGTCACGTCGTTAGAAGTTAAACTGTAAAATATAAATCGTTGCAAAAAATTTGTGGTAAAAAATAAAGAAAATACTAATCGTATGCCAAACATTGTCCACGTTCTTAATAGAGGTTATGTTGCAAAACTGCCGTTAATTTAAAAAAAGAAAAAAGAATCGGAATCAAATTTCATAGTTTGTAATCGAATATTTATGTCAGTCTATAATACTTAACCACGGTTCGTAAAACGTTCACTTTTACTCCCAACGTCAGCAGTTAATTTATAAACATTTTCTAACATCGACCCTCTTTGGTTTACCAAACTTACTACTGGAAACTTGTTTTGTATTTTAAGTAGTTCTCTACCTACTTACACACCTATCGATAAACAGTGTGTAAATAAATTTATTAAGTCTTATAACTTTTAATAATAACCATAGAATTCTAACGTATCCATCCTCCAATTTTTTTTTTCTTTTTTTTTTTTTTTTTTTTTTTTTTTTTTAAAAA